ATCCAGATCTTAGATCAGAATCCAGATCTTAGATCAGAATCCAGATCTTAGATTAGAATCCAGATCTTAGATTAGAATCCAGATCTTAGATCAGACCTTTCAGAAGCTGCTTCTCAAGTAAAACGAGACACTAAGTCTGAGACGTGGACGAGCGTCTGTCTGATTTCCTGTCCTGTGGTTTTCTGTCTGTCGTTGCGACTCAGTGAGGTGAAGCTCAGCGTGGCGTCATGTCTGTCCGATCGCATCGTGGACGAGATCCTGGAGTCTCTGTCCAGATCACAACACACTCTGGTGAGTCTGTCCTCCGTCTTTCTGTTTGTCCCTCGTTCTTTTTACGATTTGTCTGTTTCCGCTCATCCCTCCGTCCTCCCTCCGTCTCCAGGCCGACCATCTGATCAGAAAGGATCCGCCTCTGCTGCGTCACGAGCCTCAGATGGAGACCGAGGTTCTGGACGAGACGGTTCTGAAGCCGCAGAACCAGCAGCAGGAACCAAAACCACAGAGGAAGCAGGACACGGACACGTGCATGGTGGGAAAACACATACGTGTGCGAAGCGTTCGTGTTATTTCTTTGTTTTACCATAAATGAGACGAAGTCAAAACCATTTTAAAGATGAATTCACGATCTTCTACAAAGAAATCGTGAATTCTTGTCGTTGAACTTGAACTAAAAGTTGCTGAAAAGAATCTGCACTTCTTCCTGTGTCTGCTCTTCAGATGACGAAGAGGAAGAGTATCCTGGTGAGGATGCTGCGTCCCGTCTCTGTGGCCTTCGGTGAGTGAAGCAGAAAATCACGACGAGACACAGTCCAGCTCTGACGGTCACATTTTAAATTGATCCGGTTATGACTCGTTGTTCTCTCTCTTCTCTCTGACACGCGACAGATGCTGATGTTTGTCAAATCTTGTGTTTAAATGTTGTTTATTCAAAGTATTTAAAGAAATGAGGAAACTTGAATATGTTGAAAATCCCCTCAGGCTTGTTGAGGAAGGAAAAATATCTACAATTGATTGAAATCGTAATCTGGCGTGTGTCTTGGTTTCTTGACTCGGAGTTTGTCCTGAATGTTCGTGTCCTGTCCAACAGAGATGGAGTTTGACCTGGACAAAGCTCTGGAGGAGGTTCCCATCCATGTTGAGGACCTGCCTCTTCCTCCTCCTCCTTCGCCGTTACCCAACAGAACGTCAGCGTACTGCAGAGACCTCCCTCCTCCCCCGACGTCACCGGACGCAAAGTCCGTCCCTCTGGGCGATCTGCCGCTGGTGGAGCACAAGATGCTGGAGCATCGCACCAAACTGCGACCGAAACCCAAGAAGAGGACGAAACCCAGTCGACCACGTGTAGGTTCCTGTCGGGCTGGTGATCGAGACTTTGGTATCGATGAGTGAAGTAAAATGAATCCTCTGTTCCGTTTCAGCGGCAGGCCACCGGCAGCTCGGCGCCACCAGACGGGGAGCAGAACAGCATCATGGGAAAGCTGGACGAGGGCCTGGACGACTTTTTCTCCAAGAAAGTCATCAAACTCAGCTTCAGGTGAGAGATTTCAGTTTAAATTTGTGGAAGTTTAGTTGTGTGTCCGTGTAACAAGTATGGAAACTTGTTTTTATCGTTCTTCAGACTTCCCTCTGTCAAAGGTCAAACGTCAAACACGCAGGAAGCGACAGAAAAGAAACGTGAGTCCAGGAAGAGCGGCTTTTTCAACCTCATCAAATCTCGGACGTCCCGCTCAGAGAAGAGCCACGGAGCCGCCGCCATCACTCCTCCTCGTCCCGCCCGCGCCATCACTCCTCCTCAGCCTGTGACCTCCAACCCCGCTGCACCCTCCTCTTCCGTCAGCCCCGTGACTGAGGAGCCGACGCCCACATCCCCTGCACCGCCCACTAAAAATGCTGCGACCGCAGTGGAGCTGCATCAGGAGCTGCACAGCGCTCAGTCCGTCAACCACACAGATTCAGAGACCGAGGTCTGCCCGCCCACTACTGAGGAGCAGAAGGAGGAGCATGAGGAGGAGGAGGAGGAGGAGGAAGAGGAGGAGGAGAAAGAGCACCCACACATACCTCGCCATATTGGAGTTCCTGTGATGGGAATGGACCTGATGGCTGAGATGAAGGCCCGACAGGAGAGAATGGCTGTAAAGAAGGTGGGAGGAGTCTGTGGGTCAACAGCTATAATACTATATATGTATAA